TAACATAGTTCTGTGTTTGCTGGTTTCATTAATCCTTTTTGTTGATGGTAACATAGTTCTGTGTTTGTTGGTTTAATTAATCCTTTTTGTTGATGGTAACATAGTTCTGTGTTTGTTGGTTTAATTAATCCTTTTTGTTGATGGTAACATAGTTCTTTGTTTGTTGGTTTAATTAATCCTTTTTGTTGATGGTAACATAGTTCCGATGTTTGTTGGTTTCATTAATCCTTTTTGTTGATGGTAAGATAGTTCTGTGTTTGTTGGTTTAATTAATCATCTCTAGTAGTCGTTTCCTTAAAGTATATCTCAGGATTAGATCAGTTTTTTTCAATCTGGGGGTTGCAAGGCTATTTTAGGGGATCACGAGATCATAAAACATATTGGATTAGATTATCTAAAGAAAACCAGACTTAAAGAATAGCGAAAAAGCATATAAAGAATTCAGATTATCAGGAAGTTTACCGGCTTTATTGTGACTTGATCTTGAAATTTAACTATTTCTTTTAGTTTTTAATTATGTGTTTGTAAACAATTTCCCCGAAAGGGGGCCGAAGGTCACCTGGAGGAGTCAGCTGTTTTAACCATCGCACCACTATATGTTGTCTGTCAGTTAGTCAGTAGACACTGAAATGACGTCACATTTACTGATGTCAGTAAAACGTGTACATACCATGAATCACGAGAAGAATTATGCACTCTGTAGTCTACAACACAGCATATGAATTTGAAAAGCAAGAAATAAAGATATGTGTTACTCTTAATTTTGGTTTTATTTACTATTGATAACACTTTCGTTGCCCTTGCGGAAGTAAATCTAGTATATGTGTTCAGTAACACGAACAGCAGAGATAAAAAAACAGTGCAGCTAGAGTGTGATAAACTCTGTAAATTTAAAGAAATAGTTAAAAGTCGTTATATGGAAAAAATACTTAAGTGGTCAATGTTTCGGTTAACAACCTTCACTAGGACCTAAAGAAGGCGAAAATGGTAACCACTTTTTTTTTTTTTACATTTTATTCATTAATTTGCGTACGATATGATTTTATCCTTCATAAAATGTTTTTTACATGCTTAGTATTAATATTTTGCACGAATCCTTATGCTTATGCCTGTTATATATACAGTTGTAAAACGGGTGTCTCTGTATATTTCCGAGTTCCATAGTGATTGTAAAGTGTGTGTGTATGCTTGTGTATATATATTTGATCGATGTGTACGGCGAGTTCATTCCCCAAATCTGCGAAGAGAGTGCAAGTCTTCCTTCAAGCATTGTTCAGCTTTCCCATCATGGTTTCCATAGCAACCGGTAAAGACGTTGATCCGCATATAGCGAGATTGATGAACGTTGTATTTTGAATTCCAGCAAGAGAAATGGTTACAGGCTGGGAAATACCTATTAGGAGAGCTTCTATTATCTTAGCAGTGACACATCTGTCACAGATTGTCTGGGAATGTATGCAGGCTACAACTAGTTCGAACACTGATTCAGATGCTAACACCTTCTATCTAAAGGGCTCCGAGCTATTTTCTTCAGGGTTGTAAGGAAAGCAAGAGAGCCGGAAATTAAGAAGGAAAGAACTGCTAAGTTTCCTAGATGCGTAATATAACATTGTTTTGTTTGTTTGTAATTAAGCACAAAGCTACACAATGGGCTATCTGTGCTCTGCCCACCACGGGTATCGAAACCCGGATTCTAGCGTTGTAAGTCCGCAGACATACCGTTGTACCACTGGGGGGCATATAACCTTGTACCCCCATAGTTTATTGTTCAACTAGGCGATCGGTAATTGTTATGACATAACGTTGTTTATGTATGTATGCATATGTGTGTTTATATATATGTCTTTACACATTTTCAAGTCCAAAACGGTCCCAGTGGTTAACGTACCGGACTGTGAAACCGAGGTTCCGTGGTTTGCATCCATTTAAAGCAAAAAATAAAATAAAAAAATCGCGATCCGCAGTTTGAAGCCATAAGTGTGTTATAAGAGTGAGAGTCAAATCCCGCTATTCGGTCTGACAAGAGCGGTCCAAGAGTTGGCGGTGGGTGATATTGACTAGCTGCATTCCCCTAGTCTGTTACTTTAGAATTATGGACAGCTAGCGCGAGTATGTTTGCGCGGAATCCAAAACAAACAAACAAATCAATACCAGAACGAGTGTATTAGTTTCGATAAAAAAATGACTGACTACTTTTACAAACATAAATAGGTAGACAGACCAATTGTATGTTTTTGGACATAAAACTATACACTGTTAGATTTTGTTCTCTATAATAAGTTGACTTGAAAACAGTGCCGAAATACGTATAATTCACGTGCTCTGAATATCTGTCGGAACTGAAATTGACTGTTCTGTGTGACATAGTCGCGCACACAGTTTCGGCAAGAAGGTTTACTAACTATTAAAGGCTTGTTTTAAAAGCCATTAAAAGTATAATTTGTGTAATTTTTTCACGTATATAAAGTTCAACATTAAAGAAGTTAATTATCAGTAGATTTTGTGTGACATCCCAAGTTTTAGAAATTGTGATTAACATTTCTAAATCGACTCTCTGTAGTATATATCGCTGTTTTATATGTAATTCATTACGTACAGAAACTTGAAGAAATGTATAGAGTACTTTGAGATGGTCCCTTGAACTTGCCAGATGAAAGATTTTATACAGTCCTTTGAAATGGATCATTTTATAACCAGGACATTCATCATGTTTCGCTGGAGAGCAGATACGAGATTCGTGGAATGCAAAATAAATGTATACTTTTATTCGTAAAGTGTTATAACTGTAATAATAGTAATGATTTTTAAGTGCTTTTGCGTGCGTTTTTCTTTATGACGTGAAAGAATAAACATTCATTCAATGAAATCTCTAATTCCAGGTAGGATGATAAATAATTGTATGGTTTGGAATTAACCGTTTGTTTCCTAGTGTTAGACGTAATGATTTATTCCTTGCATTAGCTACATGAACTAGCGTGCTTGTTTGAGGTCTTCGCTTTAACTGTACTTCGCTCTGCGTGCCGGTGACTTTTCCTTACGGGATATTTTAAAGATACATCAATATTATTACAAAAATATTTAGCCTATTAACATAGTTTAATAGAAGACATCCCATCATGTATATAATAATGTTGATGTTAATAAGCAGAGATTCCTAGTTTGTTTGTTTTTGTATATACGTAGTTAGGTTTGAACTGACACTAAATTGTATAATACACATTATATATAATTTTGAGTGAGTTGGTTTGTCTGTAGGTGGAAAAAAAGAAAAAGAGTAGGTAAATAATTTCATATATCTATCTCTAGTTTGTCCAAAAGCAACCTTTAAGTCCACTGTGGGAGATGAGAAGTGTGCTCCTTGTCCAGCTCACAGCAGCGCCCCCTATAAGGGCTCAATCGAATGTCGTTGTGATGAAAATTATCATAGAGCATCGAAAGATCCCAAAGGCATGCCATGTACACGTAAGTAATAATGCAGAGTTTATGTTACTACGAGATAATAGTGATTATATTTGGTACATATGGTTTTATTTATGTAATATTACATACTGGAGAGATCCAGGAAGGAATAATAAATTGCCTATGATGCTAGCTAACTGAGAAAACTACATCAGTAATAATGCGTAATTAAAAAGTACACTCTTACTTAACTGAACCAAAAAAAAGCTCTCATTTTCTTGAAATGTGTGTGTTTCTTAAACTTTTGTCCGATTTGCAAAATATTTTTGTTTATGTTAAGATAACACTTTACATCTAACAGTAATTTAACATTTCTTTTCTTTTTTTTGCTGGATCTAAACAGTTTCAGTGCGTTACTTACGTGAAGAAATTCATAGTAATTGTCATTTGCAACTTTGAATGTCCGTAGTTCAAATATGTATTTTTAATATAGTTCCTTTTCATTTATTTTTATTATTTGCCCCTAGTGGCTCAAGAGTAAGGTTGAGAGCTAACGCAAAAGATCGGTTTTCGATATCCCTTTTTGTAGCTGTGCGCTTAACAACAAATAAAATGTTATCATGAACCATGGTAGAGGTTCATAATAGGGATTGCCCATTTGTTATTCTTTATTATCATTTAATACTTTCCCGCCAGTCTACTGCAAAAATGGCTGTGAGTATTGTAATAAAATCTGGGCAATATTACTAAACGTAAAATTGTCATAAATATTGGGATTTATAGCTTGAGTAAATAATGTTAACACTATGTATCAAATCTTAAGCCTATTTGTTTACTACGTTGGCGATTGCATTCTCACTTTAAGCTACCTATCTTGTTTCTATAGTGTTTTGAATATCTCTATTTTCCCCTTTTTAAATTAACTATTTTTAATAATCTTGTTATCCTGTTATTATTTGTAAACCATCAGATAAATTTACATCTATCAGTTTAGAAAAGATTTTATACGGAAAATATATTCATAAAATGTACAAAGGAGTGAGCACAATCAAGATTAAATCAGTTTTAAAAAAATGCTAAAAATCACTGAAAAAGCAAGTGAAAAGTATTACATATTCTATCTGCGTGTTACTGTTAGGACTAATCATCAGTTTTAATTTTCAAATTAGGAAACGCAAAGCATAAGAGGCGACATCTAAAGGAACGTTTTAGAATTAATATTAAGATAAGAACAGTAATGGCAGCGTAGGTTAAGCGTATGTCTGTTTGTCCACCAAGCCGGTGGAAGTTTCAATCGGAACAAGTTCTGAGATAACAACTAAATATTGTTGCTTGCAACCCTGTAAATCTTTAGGTTCGAAATTTAGAAAAGACAAACAAAAAACTTTACTGCTTTCCGAAAGTTTCCAAAAAATTAAGAATCTCATTCTCTCTATGGCGAGTAACTCAAAAATTTAGGCCTCAAGCACTGCAGGACTTCAGGTATGGCAAACTCAATCAAATTATTAAAATAAAGCATAATAATCATGTAGTTATCCATCACTAGTTTAAATTTTAGAATAACATAAGTGTATTCATCTCAACTAATAATTTTATTGAAATGAATTTGCAAAGATATTTACATATTATTTATTACGTGGAGGGAAGTTTTCAAGTTTTAAATACTGCATTTCTTATCAACAAGTTTCATAGGATAACTAGCCGTTTACGAGTGCCAAAAACCACATTAGAGCTTTGGCTGGGGTTTGTAGTTAATAGTTTCTATACCATTATTCGTAGTATTATGTTAGTGTATTTGTGATTTTTGAAATTTCGCTGGGCTAAATTGAAATTTTGTAAAAACTATAGTTGTCATATTTGTCAATAGTCTGATGGTTAGGGAGCTATAGTCGTGGGTTCGAATCCCGTCAACGAACGTGCTCGCCCTTTCAGCCGTGGGATCGATATAATGTAACAGACAATCCCACTTTTCGATTAGAGTATCTCTAGAGTTGGCGGTGGGTGGTGTTGACTAGCTGCCTTCTCTTTAATTTATCATTTCTAAATTAGGGACGGCAAGCGCAGACAACCCTCGAGTAGCAAAATTCAACAAACAAAAACATTTTTCAAAAGGTAAGCCAAATACATCAGTAATATATTTTAGAAAAGTTCCTGTACAATATCCCTAATTTGTACAGTTTTTTTTTGTTTCTTCATAATACCTGGTTGATACTAAAATATCTGATATTTCAAGTAACGTTTTATTATTCTCCACCTGATAATAACAATAAACATCCTTTGTTTCAGTGTTATAAATATTGACAGTACTAACTATAGCGTACAGCAGCAATACGTTAACGTCCTTATCTTGTTTGTAGTGTAGTAGCAAAGGTACCCGCACTAGACTCGGCATTTATTTCGTTGTTTTCACAAGCCATTCGTCAGCGTTAAAAATGAAAAATGAATAAAGTAAAAGGATTTAGAATTCCTCTATGCAGGGTCCTGCAGGAAGGCAGTTGCCCCCTTGTGTTTCATACCATTTGTTAATTTAAAAAAACAATACATGTATATAAATGTGTAATTAGCTATTTGAATGGTTATTCAATAATATAGGAAATAATAAGATCAAATGCTTCCAAGATGCTGATTTTTATTCTTTAACCTTTAAAAACCTAAGAGCGTCCATCCAGCCCCTTTACCAACAATAAAGTTCCCCCTTCCCTCCTCCTCCACTATTGAAATCTGAAATGGCAAAGTTTCATGATCAGAAGTTGGGAAGTTAGAAACTTTTCGTTAAGGGCAGACAAACAGGCACAAGTCTTAGTAAAGGTAAGCGTGATGATACGTATTCTGAGGTATAAGATTAGAATCGTCTTATTGTCGGTGTAAACATAGAGTTCGACTCCCACGGTGGGCACAGCACGAATAATCCATTGTACAACTCTTCGCTTAACAACAAACAAGCAAATTACTGATGTTGCAGAAAGATAACTAATATTAGATACGTGTTATTATCGGTGTTGCAGGAATACGTATTATCAAGATGTAATTTTCTAATGTCTCATATATCGTTAAGACCTAAATATAAATCAGTTTAAAATCTCGGTACTAAAACTATAAGAATTATATAGCGGACGATGAAAAGGGCTGAGTATGGGATAAATATTTCAGAAAATGAGCACCAAACAATTTCTGTTTCACTATCACTGTAACAAATAAAGTATATATGTGTGTGTATTACTGATGAGGTGATAGCCGGTTAGGTGGTCATATTTCTGATGGTGGTGGTTCATGATGGTATGATGATGTAATACTTGAACATCTCCTATACAAAGAAAAATAACCTAACCTCTGATTATTTGTCCTTATTTTTAACTTTCATTAACTTCTGATTTATCTTTGTGTATTTATTTATTTATGCTTATAGAACCACCTTCGGCGCCTCGGAATCTGACGGTCAACTTTGTAGACCAATCTACTGTTATATTGGTTTGGCAGACACCAAAGTACTTAGGTGGACGGACAGATACAAACTACAGAGTAATATGCGATGCTTGTGGCAACGCTGTCTCTTACGTTCCTGGTCAAGAAGGCTTCAACAGTACGAAAATTACAATCTCAGGCCTAAATCCTGTAACAACGTACAGATTTCAGATATTTGCAGAAAATGGCGTATCAGGTTTAAGGGATAGCCATTATTTAGATATAACGGTTACTACTGAGGCTTCCGGTGAGTAGAATTGGTACAATGTTAAAACAATGCATTAAACTAAGCATTTATATTAACTTTTAACACTACATTAAACTAAGCATTTTAGAAAATACGAAGGAATTTAACACACTTTCCGATATCTACAAATATCTTTTATCTGTGGTATAACTTAAGAAAATTAAACTACCAGTAACCAACTCACATTTCTGTCTCCCCCTTTTCTTTCTATCAGTCCCCCCCCCCAAAAAATATACGAAGATTTGCTCCGTGGAGATTCCATCTATAGACACTCTTAATATTACAACTTTCATTGCAAGCCATACAACTGATAAACATATAAGATAAATTTAACAGCGATTCGTTTTCACCAATATCATCTTATAACTAAAGTTTACATATGTAAAAGCCACAGGCTACAAAAAGGATCGTAGATGGCAATGACATATCTCAAGATAAGTTTCCAAAATATCTTAATAATAACAGCGACTTTATTCAAATTTTACAGAGAGGAAAAAATAAGCCAATTTAAATTTTAATTGCTGCATTACAGCAAGCAGGACATAATTACAGTCTGTATTGAAAAAGTTTAATTATCCACTCTGTCATCTATGAAGTCGTGTTTATATAAAAAATATACCTTATGTGAATATAAAAATTATAATAAACCCAGTTGTTTTTATCAAACAAGTAAGGTCCAGTAGGAAATTCCGTACGAATATATAATATGAAATTTTGAAACACCTATTTTTAGGATAATAGATTTCTATAAAACGTTTCAACTCGTTATATAACAGTGAGAGTAACACCATTAGAGACGAAACGTTGTACAAAAATAAATATATTATTCCACCAATAGCTGTTTCAAAACTTCTTATTGTTCGTAAGTTAAGTGGATACCTCTAAAAAAACCAATGATAATTCCTTCTGAATAACAAAACTTCTTCATTGCGGTGCCATCTGTTGAGTATTTTACAACACATATCACAAATATTTCTGACAGTCTTGAAAACAATTCTAAATTATATTCAGGATCATTACATAGATATAATTGATTAAAACTATTTTTCGTGTAATCAATGAATATCAATGTTAGGCAGTGTTTGACATAAATGAAACCCACATCAAAAGGACCTATCATAGTAAATAAACAAATACACCTATACCAAGGTAATATCTGAAAGGGGGGGGGAGGATAAAAGCCAGGTTGAGAATTTATAGGTAACGTGCTAATTAAACAACCTTCATCAACCGACTAAAATATTCAGCCGAATTTTGATCTCATGTTCTCTTTTTCTTAGAATTTCAAGTACGGCTTACTGAAGTAGCCTGTGTGTACTATAAAACGTTTACTTTCCAGAAATCGTACTTTTCCTGTTAAAAAGGAAGTTTCCAATATGTACTTAAAAGTAGGGGTGTCATCTGGGGTGGGTGAAGGAGGCGATCGCCCCTTAAGCCCAGAAGAGACCCTAAATGGCAGCTTCTGTGAGACATATCGAGTCAGGACTAATTAACACATTGATGCAAGTTACGCCATAGCGTAGGTTCCCCCTCCTCACATTCTTTTGTGAATTGGCACTTTTGTTTAAAACATATACTTTTATTTTTGTTTTTACTATTTTATGCACTTTTGCGTATAGTCTAATTTTGGGTCACAACTTCAATAACATTTTCTTACCACAAATGTGATAATTTTTCACTGTTTATGGTGCATCTTCCCGTAAACAGCGTTTAGTGGCTTTTTTATATATTTGTTTAATCATTTTTCTATGTGTAATCTTAATCTTTTCTCTGAGTTACATATATAGTTCAGCCATCTGTAAGACAGTGTAACTCGTTCATATAATTACTAGTATATTTCAGTTTGTTGCGTCATTTTTTATTAAAATAATCAATTCTGAACATTAAATTATTTGTGTGTGTGTGTATTTTAACAGTTCCATCGGTCGTAGCCAATGTGCGAATCCTCTCAACGAAAAGTTCTGAAATCGTGTTAGCCTGGGATCCTCCAGAAGACCCTTCCACGGTCATCGAAATGTACGAAGTGCGGTACTTTCCCCGAGGCGACGTAAAAAACGCGTCTGCTATCTTGACAAAGAAAGAAAAATCTACATTTGCAAATTTAAAACAAAGAACTGAATATGGATTTCAGGTAATAAATAAATTTTGGTACTAGATGACATTGTGTAACAAGCAAAATTAGAGTAGTAAGTTGAAGTTATGAATACCTTGTAACTCATAAAAGTTTACAATAAATTCATATAGCAGATTAGTATTTGAATCTGATGATTTATGTGGTGTTACTTTATTCCATAACACACCACCGATTTTAAATACTATTAGAAATTAATCTTTTGTATGTTTTAAATTATATATCTGTAGAAAAACCCGTTGTAAGCCATATTTTTAATGTTTTTAATTTATACGTTAGCTAGAGAGTACGTGACGTTAAATTAGGCGTAGAATACCTAGAACTTCGGTATTATATTGATCAAGAAATTTGCAGTGTCCAGAAACAAGGCAACTTAATAAATACGAGAATCAAGGGGAATAAGTCACTCAGTTTAGTGAAGTATTTATATCAGTGTTAATTATCGCTTATATTCAATTGCTCAATCGATTAGCCATGAAACTGTACAAGTAAATTTGTTTTTACTTTATTTGTAGTACCATTAGCGAGGTATTTCAGTTTGAGCATCATTTTTAAAGTTACTTAGACCTATAAGTGAAGACAGCTTGTAGAAACGTCAAGAAGGAAATAATCTAATTTGTTATTGTTGCGTGTACTGTAATTGGCCTTATTTTCACCAAATAATTTAAAAGAACTAGTCCAAGAAAAGAACAGTGCTACAACAATATATTTGGAAATAGATGAATATGTGTTTTTATTTAAAGTTTAACTGTATAAATTATCCTTACAGCAACTTGTAGTAGTATTTTATTTTATAGAAACTTAATTCATTTTTATTTATGTATTTGCTTGTGTATTAAACTGTAATTTTGAAGGTGAGAGCGAAAACAACCCATGGGTGGGGAGAATTCAGTAAAACTATCTATCAGTCAACTGGACAGCTCGTCGATAGTACTGGTTTGTATTTTTCATGTCTCTTGTAATATATCTTGGTTAAATATGAAATATTCTTCGGTGCTGATATAGGTGGAAAATATAGATAGCTCTTATAATCTTTACAATATTTTCTATTTATCATGAAAAAAATAATATAAAATGCTTTGACAGTCATTTATAAATAAAATTGAGATATTTTCAGTAAATATTGCTATATTTTTACATAAGTAAAGATTTTATTTAGTTATTAAAACAAATGGCAATAACACTGTCAAATCTTCTGTTTTGAATATAAAACATTTTTAATTGAACAAATATTGATTTTTTTTCTATTTTAGTGAATGAACAGCATTATTTCAGGTCTGAAGCATAAATAATTTCAGATCTATAGTATAATCATGTGAAAAAGAACTAATATGAATTATAAAATACATGATATATAATGTCATACCTTGAAACCCTTTAGTTTTATGTTAAAATATGCAACTATAAATAAGACTTCTAAAAATTGTTTTTTTTTATATTTTTGTAACAAGAATATAAATTATTCATATAATTATGTTTTATCATTTGAGTGGGATGCATAATATGTTTTTATATATTTGTTCATCAGTTAATCAAATTATTTTTATAGTTTAGTACAAATTACAAAATCTACATAACATAACTAGAAAAGATGATATTTCTAATAGTGCAAAGCATTTCAAACTGGTTTTTTGTCTTCTTTATGTAAATTTCATCTATAATTGTATTATCTGTAGGATAAGTAGTTCTCAAACCAGTTCATGTTTTAATCATGTAAGTTTCACCTGTATTTGTGTTATCTGTGAGGTAAGTAGTACTCAAAGTTGTTTGTGTTTTAATTATGTAAGTTTCACCTATATTTGTGTTGTTTGTAAGATAAGTCATTCTCAAATTAGCTCATGTTTTCTTTATGTATGTTTCACCTATAGTTGTGTTGGATATAAGTAATGTTTTCAAAGCATTAAACGTATATTTCAGTGTGATACATAATTTTTTGTTAATATGCAATTTCAAGATAAATTTATTGTTTCAAAACATAGTTCATTTAGTCAAAATGTGTGTGCATTGAATATAATAAAAAATTGTAGAAATCTGTGACTTTAGAATTAGCAGAAAGTTTAATAATTTAAAGCATACTTTGCTAATTTAATGTTCCATATTTTCCTAATTATTCAAGTTAGACTGATAAATTTCGTCTATTTTGTTCACATATGTATTGTTATATTTATACTCTTCTCTACAAATTAAGTTTTATTTTAGTTTTTGTATTTGTTTTCTATCAGCTTATGTTGAGGATGAAGATAAAGTTCAAGTTCGAATTATTGCTGGTGCAACTGTTGCTGTAGTTGTCCTTGTTGTCGTTGTTATTGTTATGATTGTTCTTTATATCAGGAGGTAAGAAATAAATGTTAGTAAGATTAATGCTTGTACATTTTTGATTTATAAGTATATCAGTTTATATGCTGTGTTTATCATGTGAGCTTAATTGAACATATATTTATAAATATTTACCATGTATCTGTTAATATGGATATAAGAATTCATAGTATATTGACCAAATCGATTCCAAGATTTTCACGATAACATCATACGAAAAGTGGTTGAAATAAGTGTATTATTATAGAAATTCTTGTTTATGCAGTTGCGAATTTTTGTGTTTTTGAGTTTGATCTTAAATAGTTTCAGCTATGGTAACACATTTATAACCTTTTAATATGTACATTTGATTGACAGCTCACAATATATGAAATATTCAGTTGTATTATGTATAAACATTTAATCATATCCCTAGAATACCACAGTTTAAAAGATCACATATTGAATACTCATAAAAAATAATTCATTGCTGCAGGAGCTCAGAAGAGTGCAACAAGAAGCAAGCAAGTGACTGTGACACCTTAGAATACAGAAATGGTGAAGGTAACAAATGTAAGGAGTTTGTAGTTATGATTGTTTCCTTTTTAATCTCATAGTGCTGAGCTTAGATTATTATACTATGTTTTTTAATCCAGAACTAAATGTTTTTTGTCTAAAAGTGGTTATTAATTTTTCCCTCAGTGTGGTATTTCAACAAGTAATACTATCACCTGATAAGAAATGAATACATTTAAAATAATGGTATACCTTGCATTTATTTATGCTGAGTTATTTAAGTCATTTTCCTCATTAGTGTGACAATAACCATGTGTGAATTATCATGCTTAGGATTTTTCTTTACTAAAGTACAAGACATAATTTTAATAACTGTTGAAGTTTTCCTAATATTATTAATTTTTTAGAGAATCTGTACTAAAGCTTTTACTTTCGTAAATTCCATATTTATGATATTTTGGTTTTGTCTCAATTAACCTCTTCAAAAGCTTGTGATATTTTGTACTTAATTACACTTGCACAGATTTGTTTTTAAACTTTCAAGCTAACACAATAAGTGTGAATTAAACATTTAAAATCTCTTCATGATTTTTTTAATAAATATATATTTTTGTAAAGATATGATTCTTCTAACTTTAGACCTAAAAAAAAACTTAAGTTTGAAGATTAAAAAATATGTGAAAATGTGAATTTTTACTTACATAAAGGCTTACTAATAAATATGACTTGACTGTATTAGGAGCTAAAAAATTGTTTGCACAGGCCTTTTTATTTTATTTTATTCTCAACTAACAGTAGTACCTGCCTTGGAACACCCTCCTATTGTTCCTACTGCTCGAAGTAAGTACTAACAGCTTTTATGTAGTTACTGCAGCTACAACTCTTTTGTGCTCTGTTACCCTCTTAAAATATATTCATTTCTTTTCATTCTATTGGGCTCTATAGTTAAAATTGCAATAGCTTGTATTTATCAAACATTTTACCATCTGTTATGGGTTTTTGAAACTAATATTGATTTTTAAAACCAAAGAATTTGCAAAGTATCCAAGTTGTCCTTAAACATTTGTTTCTGAATATAAATAAAATATTAAAGTTGTTTATGTAGGCTTATATGATCTGTAGTATTGTTAGAACATTTTCAGCCTATCTTGCTACTTACATGGTCAGACATGTGAGAATTTTGCAGTTAATAGAACATACATTTCATTCTTTAGTTACTAATTAGCATATTGCTTTTAATGTATCTATTGTGTAACACAAGTATAGATGGGAGATTAATCAATATAATCTATTATCTATAAGCATCAATTATAGTGATTAGTGTTATATAAAGTAATTGAATAATTGAAATTATGATTAACTCAATTAATTGTAAAAAATAACTAATAAAAAAAATTAATGTTTCTCATTATTATTGTGTTTTGATTATTCCAACTATCCAAGTCTCAGGTGAGAATAATTGAAGGTTGAATGTAATCAATTAATGAGATTAACAATTTAACAATGATCCAATTCCACTAATCACCCAGCTCTAAACACAAGTCCCATAAGTTTGGTAAAGTGATGACATGTTTAGCTAATATGTTCCTTTATAAGTGATAAATTTTCTTTGTGAATATTAAATTATGTATTGCATTTTACAAACCTTGTATAAAGTTAGAAAATAATTCCAAAATCAAAATGACTTGAATAATAATAACATACAGTGAATATTGAAATTTATTAAAGCATAAATAAGATAATTCAATATTTATTTCTTGAAATATTTCCTAAGAAAGTACTCTGAAATTTGATAATAACATAGAGGTTTAAAGTTATACCAAAAGATTTTTCTGTCTGTGCAGTTACAACACCACTTTTCACACACTGTGGAACAGCAAGGAGCTACATTGACCCTCACACTTATGAAGACCCAAATCAAGCAGTTAGAGAGTTTGCCAAAGAAATTGATGCCCTCCACATAACCATTGAAGCTATAATAGGTGGAGGTAAGACACTGATGCAGTTGATATCCAAATTTGCCTGGACACAAATTGATGTTAATCAGTAGGTAAAGGTTTAGATTTCTTAAACTGATCTATAGATGTAAATATTTATACTTTTAATCAATTTGATTGTGAGCATAGAAATTTTAACCACTAGTGATTCAAATATAATAATCTTGGTCATTACTATGTTAATTTGTTTTTGGTGATTTTTATCCAAATTATAAAAAATTTCTATAACATTTTAAAACGGAGTAATGAACCTGTATCCTTGAAATAAAGAAAAAAATGAACATTGTTGTGAAGGGTATTTGTTAATAATAAGTGATGAGAGATAGGATGACATAAGCATTCATCATACTGCCTTCATCTACTGAATCTGGTAATTTTTAATTTTTTACCCAGGTGAGTTTGGAGACGTGTGTAAAGGAAAATTGAAAGTCCCAGGACGACCTGAAATTACTGTTGCCATCAAAACTCTTAAACCAGGATCTCCAGACAAGGCTCGTATGGACTTCCTTACAGAGGCCAGCATCATGGGACAGTTTGATCATCCCAATGTTATCTATCTTCAGGGTGTTGTCACAAAAAGTAATCCAGTCATGATCATCACCGAGTATATGGAAAATGGCTCTCTCGATACTTTCTTACGGGCAAGTTTTTAACCATACAAAGATAATATTTTGTATTGTGTTGGAACTTTGTGCATTCTTGAACAATGCTTGTGCAAGAATATTGAATTAGATAATTCAAGTTATTCTTGCTTTAACTGAACCTTCCTTATTTATATCAAAGTTGACACTATTTTGTATTATTTCTTAAAGGACAATACTAGAAATTCATCAGCATAGGAAAGTATGCCATAATTGTGCATAGACAAATTGGATAGATTAAATATTAGAGAAATTTGGAAAGTTAACATAGAGCTGGTATTTATCATAATCTGTGATAATAATAGTGTTGAATGTATACATTTTATTGTACAGAACCCATTTATTTATTCCAGTTTTAGAAACAACCCATGATTTTGATAGTGCTTCATAAATATATATATATATAGTTCAAAGGTCATCAGAGAGTTCCTTGTTGTATGGGTTGCTTAATGTGTATGTATATATATATATATATACAATATTCTACAGCATCTGAGTTAAAAAATAATATACTCTTGTTTTATTTTTCAGCCATGGATTATTACCATAAGAATGTAAAATTTAAAATAAATTTAATATAAAAACATTTGCAAAATGGTTTAATAGTTTCTTTAACTAACAGATTGTTGTAATTTTAGGGCATACAAAAAAAAGAGCAAAATAATGACTTTAAGCATGCATTGAGAATTTGTCATGCAAAAAAAATATACTTAACAAAACATGACATCTTCCCACTTCTGTGTCACACACAATGTTTTAACTTTAATACAAGATTTATTAACTCTGTACTCACTAGCTTACTTTAAACATGTTAGTGTTCTAAATTTAACTTTACATTTGAAAAACCTTTGACTAGATAAATGTGGGTGTTATATTAAGTGAATCAGTAGTAAGTAACATAATAAAATTGAAATAAAAAAAATGTTTTAAATCCTAACTGTTTGGGCATTTGGACTTTATTATTTTTATGAGTTTGCAATTTTGCTTTGTATTAAACAACCATAGAAAGTTCTACCTTTGGAATTGTTTCAGACACAAATCAACAAAACCATTGTATTCTGGTTTCTACCACAAATGTTTTTAAAGTCATTTCTAACATCAAGAAGAGTATGATGTTTTATTTGCTGTATTTTTTTATTTTTTAGGTATGTTCGCTTGAGCTGGACAAGAGTATACTTAGGTTCATAATTGTAATTTTTCATTGTGATATACTAAATATGGCCACTAATTGTTTATTTCCACCATTTTTTGTGAGTAGTTTTTTTTTAAATTACGTACATTCTAACTAAACATCTCTTGTGAGGTACTTTAACCTGTCTATGTGATGTGATGATGAACACGAAGCTAGTCATAGGGTTAAGAGAAGTTTGTTTACTCTGTAATTAGAAAATGTTTTGATGCTCTTATGTAAAAGTATTGGATACAAGCTAACTGAGATGCTTGAACAACTTTAAGAACTATTTCAGTGCTCAAGAATCTGATAGCTTACTCATGTAGTGACCCAAGAAGGAGTTATTTCAATACATTTTTCTCTATACCTCAAATGAACATGATTCTTTCTGAGATTTAAATTATTACATAGAAAGTTTCTTATATTGTCATTTGTTTATTTGCTGAGAAGAAAATTATTATAACTTGTCATTAAATTTCTATAGTTTTAAGTAATATATATATAATACAGATTATTCTTGATTGATATTTTTTCTGTATGTCTAGGCCAATGATGGGAAATTCCAGGTCATTCAGTTAGTTGGAATGTTGCGAGGGATTTCAGCTGGGATGCAGTATCTTTCTGAGATGAGTTATGTGCATAGAGTAAGCAATATATGTCCTCTGTAAGCTAGATACCTAATCAACATGCAGTTACTGTAATACCATAATGTAAAATTTCCTAGAACCTACAAATTTCAATATAATATACAATTGTGTAATGGTAAAAAGACTGTAAGTGGCTTCTTTTCAAGGTTTTTGGCTCAAATTTTAGCAGTTGTACTGTAGGTCACACTTATTAACAATGGGAAGAATTAGTTCATTGTGACCAGCTAAGCAATACATACAAACATGATATCAAATAACTTCTTATACTTATCACTACCTAGAACTGTTATATTTTCATGGGAGAATGGCTCGGTTTTTCTGTGACTTTTTGTACAGCTAAGTTTTCAGACCTGTTGACTTAACAACAGAATTTAACATATTTAATTCTTCTAGGATCTTGCTGCTCGTAATGTGTTGGTCAATTCAAGCTTGGTGTGTAAGATTGCTGACTTTGGTCTCTCTAGAGAAATTGAAAGTGCAACAGAAGGAGCATACACCACAAGAGTGAGCTTAGTTTTTCATTAAGAAACAGAAATGTGACATTGTGAGATATCTAGTTAACTAGAGTAAATTGGTACTGATGTCGAATCTCTTGTCTTTACATTTGGATGCTTTAACTGATTAAAAGCTGTATTATACTTTAATACATTGTTTTGAATATGAAATTATTTATTTAATGCACTAATTATTTCTGAAGCTTTTTCAACCCTCCTAAGTAAATTTGTAGAATAGGTGTCATTAACTTAGTGTTAATGATAAGCATTGCATTGACAAAAGTGAAATATATGAAAGTTATTATATATGTAAAATGTGTCAGCCTGATATTTTTTGGCCTTAGTATATTAATACTCAACTGGTATTATTCAGACAGAACTATAATTATTTAGGTATCTGTGTCCTGGTATGATAGTTTTGAAGTGAAGGTCCAATAAATTGTATTTTTATTCAGAAGTAACTTATTACTCAAGATCATTCATTATAAAAAAAAAAAAAACACTTGTGCATTTGAAGAAAGACCCACAATTTTAATATAATTCTTTTGTTGATTAGTCATATTGCAAATGCTGCGAGTAAGATAAGTGATATTATACACCAAATCTGGATATACAATTTACTGATTAATGACCAAGCATTTTGTATTCTTGTAATTCAGAACATACCTAGATATAATAAATTAAATTCATGACTTTCAGATTTATATATATTTTTTTCCTTTTGCATAATGGAAACTGAATGTGTAATTAAACAATGACATTTAATTTTAGGGAGGAAAGATTCCAGTTAGATGGACAGCTCCTGAGGCCATTGCTTTTAGAAAATTTACATCAGCTAGTGATGTCTGGAGCTTTGGTATTGTATCATGGGAGGTTATGTCTTATGGAGAACGACCGTACTGGAACTGGCCCAACCAAGATGTTATCAAGAGTATTGAGAAAGGCTACAGACTTCCTCCACCTATGGTATAATGGCTTACTAAACAAGTTAAAAATATAATAGATTTTGGAACATCCTTTTGCTTTTATACAGGAAATTTTGCAGGTTATAATGAATTTATTTAATTTTTTGGCATGCTTTTCCAAAAGGTCTTAATGTCATATAGCATATGTAGAAGTAAAAAAACATAATCACAGAACAAGTTAGAAGTTATAATTACTGAAAAAAATCAATTATTATGAATATCCTCTACTATAGGTTTTAAATTATTTTATGTTGTTGGAAAATATTGATATCAAAATATTGTCTTACAGGCATTATGAACATTTTATTATGACAGTATCTACTAGTAAATTAGTTCTCGTGATCAATTGTGTGAAGGTTTAGAAGCCACAGGTTTTTTGTATTTTTGGCTATATTGTTACGTCTCCGTTCGTTAATTAACTTTCCGTAACTTTGTTCCGACGAAACTTTAGCGACACAAATCCTTACTTAATAAAACTGGTTTATTATTTCCAAATACAACTTTACGATACACTTATTTTCAACAATCACACTAAAACAAACGCTATAAACGTCAACAATACTTCTGACTGCAGTTCAATTACTCACTATCTACACACACATTATTCTTCCGTTACGTTGTCACCCTCTTTTATATACCAGACTACCCTATATCTAGTAAATACTAGAGCATTCGCCAAGGTACAGGATAGTTCTAGAAAATAGGTGGCGCCACACCAGTCACGTGACCTCGATGACGCAACAATATTATTATATCACCTCTCAATAATTGTGTAAAAGTTTTTTTTGCTATTTCGAAGTTTATATTCAATTTGTTTTTTTTGGCAGGATTGTCCTGAAGCTATGTATCAACTTATGTTAGATTGTTGGCAAAAAGAGAGATCCCACAGACTAACTTTTGCAACCATTGTGAAAACCCTTGACAAACTGCTCAAATGTCCTGAAAGTCTTCGAAAGATTGCACAAAATAGGTAAAGCATCTTAGCTTTGTAAGGCTTAAATATCTTTTTCTTTTGTAAAACAACCAAAGTGTTATGATTTTTAGTTATCGGTGTTAATATCATTATCAGGAGGCTTCAGTTATTAGTCTGTTATTTGAAATAGTATTCCAATTTAATGCATTTTTTGATGACTGAAATCTTCAAAGGATACTCAGAATAAGTGTTGCTTTATTCAACTTTCAATTTTTCTTATTACCAAAAACCATTACAGTTACTTCTCTATTTTCAGAATTCTAAGGCATAACACTCTGCTTTTGATTTATTATTAAATTATACATGTAATTATCATAAATGTCATTAGATTTTACTTGTGAAAATGTACAAAATTTATAAAATTAAGAGAAGCTTAGCAGCATTTCAGTATGTGAATTGTAAGATTTTAACCTGTTTATGAAGGTGTTCCAAGTTTTGTTTTTACATTATTATTATTATTATTTTTTATACAATAAATAAAATATTTGAAACAAAGTAGAATTCAATGCTTGGAAAGTGTTGAGACTTGATTTTACATTTTTTATTGTACTCAAAAATATTTTTGGGTTTTATGTAAAATATTTTTATTAAAGCTAAAGCATTCAAAATTCTACAGAAAGCTTAAAGGGCTTATCTTTGATTTTCAGGAGTGATTTTTATTTATTTTGAGTGTTGTACTAGCATGAACTTCTTTTTTTTTATCTTGTTGAATTTTTTTAGATGTTGGGACTGAAACCTTGTAGGCTATTATAAATTGATTCACAGCTAAAGCCCATAGATTTGATTTTATGGGCTCAGATGGCTAGATAGTCTAAGTACTCTGAAAGTAGTAGTAGCCATAAAGCTAATTCAGTTGTTCAAAGTCTTGTCTTTCTTCACTCAGTTGGATGAAAACACTTAAAGATGTTACAGTATAACATAGAGGCTAGTACATTAAATTTAAATGGTTTTTGAGCTTCATCATGTCATTATTTTTCATGTTGCTGTGGCATTTTCATGTTAGATTAATTTACTCAAATAGTATTAGGTAGGTCCACTTTATAGTAGGAGGATCATCAATATGAATTATGAAGTGTTACCAAATTTCTAAATTAACTTATTTTTAAGGTAAGAAATATAGAGACTAAACATGATGTGTAACAGAACACTAATAATTTCTATTTATTAAAAGGCACAAAATACCTGCATGCATACTTGCATTGAACACTGGATGGTCACTTTTTACTGGACTTGTGAATTGATCAACAGATTTTCTTCCCTCATGATGTCTTTCCATCATCTACCTCACTTTAGATCCAGAGACAGATCAGATTTACCCATAGTGATTAGCACTATGCACGTGACTAGTCATTCTTGTTCATCTTAAGGGAGGCTGTCACTGTTATCTACATTCTTGACTTCATTGATCATTACAGCAATACCACTCGTGGGTGGAAAAGGTATTTTCTCTAGAGAAAAACAATGTAATAAAGGCAGCTAGAACAAAATCAACTTAACAGTTTTCTGGACTACATATGCAAAAACTGCATAGACTGAGAATAACAAATTTTGAAAATTTGTATATTATAAAAAGAAGGTAGAAAATGTATGGTTTGCCTGCATACCCCATTGTCACATCCAGTCATGCTGTATGTCATGACCATGCATCTAAACAATAGCCCTACAGCAGAGTTTCCATTGCAAAAATCTCAATCATAAAGCTATCATCTCCAAAGCACACCACTTCTCAACTGATGGCTTTATATAATTCATCTTGTGTACATTCCCAATGGCCACTTCTACAGTCTGATCACATAGAAAAGCATAAGCACTGCGGCTAGTGACTTGATCCGTATGCCTTTATATGGAATATCATGAATGCCCATTTCATTCTCCGGTACTTAAGGTATACAAAGACTGAAAAGCTATTGTAAGGTTTTTACATATGTATGAGCTGGTTTTTTTATGGTATTTGTCTGTTACTTGTTGATGATAAATTTACACAATAAACAAACAGCACAGTTCACTTGTTTTAAAATAATATATTAAAAACAAGCTAAACATATATACAAATGTTTGAACCATGTTGATTACCACAGTTGTATCCAGAGCTTTAAATAATTGGCTCTTTTTGTCAAAGTCAACAAAGGCTGATTCAGTTAATTTAGAACACAATTGACACAACAAATTATTCCCCTCTACTCTGTTGTTAAAACACAATCTATGATAATTTCATTCTAATAAAAAGTGCCACTATATGCTCTCTACAACTAAACTCACAATCACGCAGTCTAGATCTATCTATCTAAATAACTAACTTTTTCGTACACACACACACACACACACTAGACAGCAATATAGAATGTTCCACACACTACTAGACATTATGATACAACAATAGTCTATTACAGCAATGAGAAAAAATTCAGAAGGTTCAAGTAACATGACGTCAGTTCACAACAATTGAACTACAAAATGAATATATAAAGTATCTAAATCATAATGCTAACATTACACTTAAAATGAAACAGTCATGTATATTTAACAATAAGCTCCTCTTCAAGAAAAATACTTACAATATTTTTTATACTATATACAAAGACTGTTTTCAGTTCATGCACAAAGTCTACTCATTCAGACTGCAACAACATTTACAGTCCCCTTGATTGTTTCATTGTGGAACTGGTAGTCCTGGAGGTACACTGCCCACCTCATGATCCTTACACTATTGATTTTGCATCTCTGGCTGTATGCAAGGGGCTGATGGTCCATCTGTATGATGAACACCTTCCCATAGAGGTAGTTCTAGAATTTCCAGATGGCAAATATAATGGCCAGACACTCATTTTCAATCACAGAGTAGTTCTTCTCACTACCCCACAGCTTTTTACTGACATTCATTATGGGGAACAGTCAGTCTACATGTTCTTGTAGAAGTACTGCTCCAATTTCAATGTCTGATGCATTGACCTTAACAAGGAATAGTTTGTTGAAGTCTGGCATTCTAAGAATTAACAAACTTCCTAACATGTTCTTCAACTTCTGGAATGTTATTTGCTGTGGTTGTTCCCACTTCACCTTGTTGGGTTGACTTTCTTTGTCAGGTCAATCCATGGTGCAGCAACTTCAGTGTAGTTTGGAATGAACTTTCTGTAGTATCCTGCTAACCTCAGAAAGGATCTGACTTGCTGCTTGATAATGTGAGCTGGTGTATCTTGTATGCAGGTTAGCTTCTTTTCTTCCATGGTTATCTGTTGGTTGACCACCTTGTGTCCAACAAAGTCCAGCACAGAATAGCTAATGTAGCACTTAGATGGTCTGATGGACAGACTTGCTGCCCTCACTCACCTGAACATCTCTCCGAGTTTCTTCAGGTGGTCTTCCCATTTGGCTGTATGGGTCTGAATGTCGTCCACATAATGCTTGATGCTGGTAGTTTAATGCAACATCTTCCTCACCATGCAGTTGAATGTCACTGCTGAGTTGACTAACCCAAATGGCATCCTCTTGAACTGGTAGCATCTATCTGGTGTTACAAAGGCTGTCTTTCCTTTCGATTCTGCTTCATCAGGATCTGCCAATAACCTTTACTGATGTAAATCTTGGTAAAGAACTTGGGCTCATCTAGTTTTGCCAGGATAGCCTCTGGGTTGCCCAGAGGTTTGGAGTCAAACTTCGTCATGAGGTTCAGCTTCCAGAAATCTATGCAGAAGCAGTTTGAGCCATCCCTCTTCTTCACGATTACCACTGGTGAAAAGTAGGCTGAATTTGAAGTCTCAATGATTCCAGCTTCTAACGTGGCTTCAACTTCTTGCTTGATTGGGTCTCTCATTGTATAAAACATCTATCTGATAGGGCTTCACATTGAATGGATCCCTGGTCGTGGTCTTGATCTTGTCTTGCCTGGTCTATCTGTGAAGACATCTACATAATGGTACAGTAGATCTTGTAGCTCTTTCTTCTGCTTGCCAGTCAGTTCTTCACTAATGTTGATGTCTTTGTATATCTTATCTCCACCCAGTAGTCTTAGGTCTAATAGGTCTTAATCTTCTATGACAAAATTGCTGTCTTCAGGTTCTGCATCTTACAGCCACATCTGCAATTTCCATCTATGTTTCAATAGCTGCACCCTCTTGAAGTACCTTTTGGTAGATCTTGGTCTTCCCGCCCACTTTTACCTTATAGACCATTTAGACTATTTCCTGCACCTTAAAAGGTCCTTTTCACTGCAGGATGAGTTTGTTGTTGCCTGTGGATAGCAGACCTTCTCTCTGACCTTGAAACATCGATCCTTGACCTTTTTGTCACAGAAGTGCTTCTGACTACTTTGAGCTGCATTCAAGCTCTCTTGAGCAAGTTGACAGGTCTCCTCCAGTCAATTTCTGAGGTGTAGTGCATATTGGTATGTGTTCCTCACTTCTTACTCTTCTTCTTCTGTCCACTGTTCTTTCAGTATCTGCATCGGAGCTCGTACTGTTCTTCTACAGTAACTCAAAGGGTGAAAATCCTGTACTTGCTTGTGGGGTTCATGGTAAGGAGATAATACTGCCCATAGGTATTTGTCCCAGTCACGTGATTTCTCTTGGCACATCTTGTTTAACATGCTCTTTAGGACTCCATTGACTCTCTCACAAAGTTCTTTACATCTGGGGTTGTATAGGGCGGTAAAGAGCTGCCTAGTACTGATGAGTCTACACACATCTTGCATTAGTTCTGAAGTAAACTGAATCTTCTTTTGGAAAACCTAGTCTGCAGAACACTTCCAGGAGATCTTCTGCTACTCTACCTGTTTCTGTCTTCGGCAGTGCTATGGCTTCTGGTTAACGTGTTGCATAGTCAACTACTGTCAGCACGATATGGTTGCCCTTGTCAGGTACAGGTGCTAGTGGTCCATTCAAGTCCACAGCTACTCTGCTGAATGGCTCTTCTATGAGAGGCATCTCACCCAGTCTTACCTTTGCTACCTTTCTCTAGGTACTGCCCTTTGTAGATATCACATGACCTGCAGAATCTGGTCACATCTCCAATGACCCCCAGCCACTGGAAGTTGCTTGTGATTCTGTCTGCTATCACTCCTAGGTGTTCTCCTACAATTGACTCATAAGCCAACTTCCTCACTTATGTCTGGTATTCTGTTGGTACTATGATCTGTTTAACATCACCAGTAAAACTGTCTTGATAGATCCAATACAGCACTCCTTTCTAGTCCTCTATTCTGTAAGTCCTTTTCCCTTTGGTCTTGTGCTTCACTTCCTCCTGGGCACTGTCCCAAGGTTTCTGCAGTAAAGGGTTTTTCCTTCTGTGCTTCCTTCAGTTCCCATAGACCTACATTTGGGATGTCACTTTTTGAGACTTCCAAAGGCTTGATGTCTTGCTTACTTTTCTTTGGATCTTGTGGTGGCTACAGATGCCTCATTAGTCTCCTTTCAGTCTGGTTCCTCCAAACTTTTACTTCCTGGTATATTGACGATCACCAAATCGTAGATGGGTGCTCTCATACACATGACCTCAGGGTCTCCTATGTAATATGGAATGTCCACCTTTATTCTTGCTATGGGAAACTTTCTCACTGTCCCATCAATAAGTACACACAAATCTGGTCATCAGATATTAGACTGCTTCTCTCTGCTGCACCCAGTGCCTTGTAGGACTTTCACTTTCTTTTCCCCAACACAGCCTTCATCTATTGGCATCTTGTGGTTTGTTGGCACATCTCCATATCTATCACTATTGGCACTGTTGATCTGTTTGCTAACTTAAACTGACCATCAATCACGTACTGTTTAACATTGGTGATGGCACTTCCTTCCTTCCTGTGATAAATCTGACCAGTTGTTTTTATTCTATTATTACAATCAGTGCTCACCAGATGGCATTGGAAATGCTATTTGTGCTGATCTCTATCTGATTTTTTCTGAATTATGTATCATAAACAGTGGAAAAAAGCATTCCTATTCTTTACTGCAGTTTTGTTGAAATATATATTACGTATAAATCCAGATATGTAACATTTATTTATAAAGTACATTTTGTGCAAAAATATAACAAGTCATAAAAGGAATTTTGTTTCATTAATATATACATATAGGCTATCAAAAATTGAAATAAAAAACCTGACATTTTGAGCTCATTTACAAAAAAATGCCTGACATGACATTTGATAAAATAACCACTGCTAGTTGGGAACCCTGTTAAAAAAGTTTTATCCTTTTTCTTTTATTACTAGACAAAATCCACTTGATCCCAATGCTCCAGACTTGACCAAATATAAGACAATTGAAGAATGGTTAAACAGCATCAAGATGATGAGGTACCTTGAGAACTTTCAGCAGGCAGGAATTAACTCAATGGAGTCAGTATCTCGGCTTACTCTTGCTGATATCACTTCGCTTGGTGTGACACTTGTAGGTCATCAAAAAAAGATGATTGGTAGCATTCAGACTCTTAGGGTTCAACTGAGTGCCAACATGTCTGAAGGACTACTGGTCTAAAACAACTGAAAGTAAGTGATAAAAGGTTTTTTTTGTTTACTTTGGATGTAAAAGAACTAGACCTGGGAAATTTTGGCTCCACACACATTACCAGTATTTGACAAGTGGCCAAACTAGATGTGTGGATGCCACCCAAAAACTGAAGCAACTGTGATGAACTCAAATGAAGAATTGTTGTGAAGATTCCATCTACTTACAGTGTAGTTAGGGTAATATGTGTTCTCAACTGCAAAGAAATATGGTCTAGCTAAAGAAAAATAAAATGGCTAGCAAAATTTGGTGGTGACATGACAAAAAAGTTCCTTCTTTCAAACCAGGAGTACAAGATCATTCTTAGTGAGTTAACCAGGAATTCTACCACAGCCACCAGCTTTTGAAACAAATATGTTTGCTCCATAACAGTACCACAGAACTTGAAGCAGCTAGCTGTGGAACAAAACATATCAGCTCAAGTCTATAAACAAAAAAGGCTAATAACTGCCTGAGGTTAGAAGGCTTACAAGCTCTACACATATCAGTCTGTCTTTTAGACAATGCGGTCATATCAGTTATTCAGATGGTAAGCTGTGTATATCAAGTACTTAGCCCACCTAATTTGATATTTGACGTTGAATATAGAGAGAAGGTGAGAGTAACAGAATGAGAAAAAGAGAGGTTTACCATTAAAGCAGATATTTCACACCAATTTTAGGAATAATGGTGGTTTTCAATCCTATACTAGTATATAGGTGAATATGAAAACCAGCCTTTCTAATATTATGTATATTTTTTAATTAAACTAAACTTTAAACCTTTTCACTGAAAGAACAAAATCAAGATAATATGATCTGTAAGTTCTAAGAGCAACTTTCTTTCTTTTAGAGCCATTGGTGGTTTATATTCATCAAAAAGTGTCACAGCTCTTTAGACGTTTTTATCAGTTTTTTGATGAATAAATTGGTGCTTACTGGATTTCGTTATTTTCTTGACACTTATAGACTTAACTTTTAATATAACTGGTATTTATGGTTACAGAATTTCACATTCCTGACAAAGTTTTATGAACACATTAAAAGTTGATAGGAGGTCTTGATAAAATAAGACCTTTAAGTAAATGTACATTATGTTGAGGAAGAGAAAATTGGAGTTGATTAAACCACATTATTATTTTTCTTTAAGTATTTAGAGTAAAATAAAAATGTACATTTTGAAGTTTGACAAATTCAATGCATATAAGGTATTTGAATGTGATATATAAATCTACTCTCGATGTTTCAGTAAACCATGACACAAATGAGTTTATCAAATAAGACTAGGTTTCAATAAGTTTTGGCATTTATGAGTTTTTTGGATAAGACTAGGTTTCAGTAAGCCTTGATGTTGACAAGTTTATCAAATAAGACTAAGTATTAGTAAGCCTTGACGTTGATGAGTTTTTCAGATAACACTAGGTTTCATTAAGTTTCATGACTTTATCAAATAAAATTAGGTTTCAGTAAGCCTTGACACTGATAAATTTTTCAGATAAGACTAGGTTGCAGTAAGCCTTGACACTAAACGAGTTTTTGAAGTAAGTCTTAAACTTTGTCAACAAAAATTTTGCAGAAAAGATCTAGTTTTAAAGACAACGAAACACACAGAAATGAAGTTAGTGAGCAAATGTTAAAGTAGGCTGAAGTTTATTTATTGTTTGTTTTCTATAGTTGATATTGATGAATAATAATAGCATTGTAAAATACTGTTGTAAAAAAACTTTCTTGTAGAATAATTTTACTGCCACAATACACAAACTCTTAGACACAGTTTTTTTGTTATTTTTTTTGAAAAAAATTTATGTGGATATATTATCTATATATAAGCTACATACACAGTCTTCTTGTGGCATTATTAATATACATGTGGGTTGTAAAGTTCATTGGCATAAGGCTACACTTGTGTAAACAATAAACTAGCTTTTATTTGTGGCATGTAGTGGGCTAGTCAATACTTAATTTTTTCTACCCTGTCTCATGATCTTCAGAGGAAAATTGTGACATAGCACCAGTTTAAGCTCTTCAAAAGTTAATTGCCTATATACTTAACTATAAGTTAAATCCCTATATTTGTTTCTTTTGGATACTTACTCATACCTGAAATAATACCTACTAATTGTTTGTATTGTGAGATGTGTTTCATACTTCATGCAATAAGTAAAAGAAATTCAAGAAATTTCAAATAGCTCTGTAGCAGGGGCATGCCTGGACACTGGCCTACAGGGCCCATTCCCCAGATGTATTTTACATTGCCCTGCATCTGTTTATGTAAACCATAATATATTGCATTGCAATTATGTTTTAATCATGATGAACATTAGTTGTTTCTTCTGGCCCAACTAGTGATGTCCCTGGTGTGTAGTACAATTTTTCACGTCACGTATGTTGCATAACATTCCTAATAACTATCAAGTTCATGACTTGGGTTATTTTGTTTGCAGAAAGCTTTTTTTTTATTTTATGTATTTATGTTCTAAGTATGGAATTACCATTTGATTTCATTTGCTTGCTTCCAAACTTATCCTGTTCATACTGATTTTGCTGTTTAAATGTCTACTTTACAATTATTCATGTTTTGAAAATTTTATTGCTTGCTTACTGATTTTTTTTTTTAAATAAGATAAAAAAAATAAAATTCTATCATCAGAAGTCACTGATTTATTTTAAGAGTCAAGTTTTCAGCTTTCATGTTTTTGTTAACTTAAAACAACAGCTGACTTTTGACTTATATTTTAAATTACAGAAACATATTACTTGCTTATTTCTCAAACCACTGATTTGGCCCTTGTCATGAAACAGTTTCATCTTAAAATATATTTAGTGTTCTCTTTGAATATCAGTAATTTAATCTGTATTATAACATGTTAAATATATGTTCAAAAATCATGTGGAGCCTTTTGAAGCAACAAGTTTTACTAAAACTTTGCTTCATATTAATACTCAGTTGATGTGTAGGCTCAAAGAATTTTTTAGTTGGAGTTTTACATACATTTCCATTGTAGGAGGTAACTGAATTATCAACTGTGGATATAAAAACGAATGTTAATCAACATCGTAAGGAAAATAAAAATTATAATCTTTCAAATTTATATATGACTTTTGAATTTACAGATGTTCATGAGGAACATTTTATTATTATTTTTCATCTTCATAAAGCTTATGATACCACTACAATGTCAAAAGTCATTCATCATTGATTGACTTTACAGTCATATGCGGTTGCCAAAACCAATACTAAAATAATTCTTAACACTGATTTTGCTGGTCATAGTCTAAATGCTTTGATTTTGGTGGTAATTTACTCTTCAGTCATCATTTTGTTTGTTATGGCATGTTAGTGCCAACTCTTGATCACTTTTGACTTATCTTGAGTTTCACATTTCATGTGATAAAACATTAAAAATAATAAGTGTTTTTATGAACTATCCCAAAAAATCCAGCACTTGAAACATGTGGTTAGCAACACTGTATTAAAAGGAAAATGTGCCAGATAAAGATATATAGTCATATCCTACTAATATTATAATCCAGCTGAGATGGTGCAAAATGAAATCCTAATCCTTTATTGTGTAGAATAATTAGATAGATGTACCATTTCTAAAACCTCTAATTTCACAAGGAAAATCTGCTATTATGGCTCTAATCTTCTTTGGTCGCAGACTGGAAGCAAAACAAGTGTTCAGAAATACTCCAATAGTATAATAATATTTTTTTGTTTTTATTCAGAAATTTTAAATCATTTTAAAGATGAATTTCACATCCTTACATATTTCTTTATCTTAAGTTAATTGCACATTCTGCTATAATTTATAAATTTAATTTTTATCCATTTTCTTTTCAACATTTTAGAAGAAAATATAGGCAATAAACAAATTGCCATAATTGTTTGAGCTATAATAATAATAATACAAATGCTTGACTATTAGTTTTTAAATGTAAGATAATTAGTTTATATTCTGACTCTCTACGACTACTGTTATCATAAAACTATTCTCATGGTCACTTACAAGTCGGATACATGAAATGAATTTTGACTGTGCTTAATGAAAGCTTATCTAGTAGTATATATTTATTGTGTAGATATTCTGAACCACTAAGAATTCTGCAGTGTCTCAGCAGAATCAGTGGATTACTGTATATTAAAAATGTTCCAAAATAGAACTATTACATTAAACAGCTGCCATCCATGCAATGTCTTTGACTTTGTAAATGTGTACTGCTTTATGTATGTATGTATGTAGCCATTCCCTGCTTCTTGTCCAAGATCTGTAATAATTATGGTGTTGTACAAGAGGATCTCTTAACAACTGGATTCTGCTATTCAAATGCTTTTCAAGATCCAATAAAGATTACTTTGCAAAAAGTCTTTGTATGGTAATAGATTTTTAAACTAAGATATGTCCTAAAATTCATGCTAAAACAGTTATGAATTCTTTGCATATGATAAACCTGGCTCTGCAATATTACAAGTAATATGTTATATGTATAATTATCTTTAATCACCATTTCAGTTTCAATGTAACAAGCACAAACTTGTACACCAAAGACAAGTTCTTTTTACCAGAAGAAAGCTGCTCTTTAAGCTACATTTTATATATTTCTTTCACTGTGGTAGCCAAAACAACACAGTATATTCTAGAAAAATGTTACAAGTGTGTATGATATTAGTAGAATTGTTTACATTTTTGAGACCGTGTAGAAAATGGCAAAAGTACATATATGTATGTGAATGTGGACTAAAGTAAACAAATGCAGGGTGAAAATTTCGTTTACACTAGTAACATTTTGATAGGACACTGTATATTAATCGTTTTATCATCTGTAAACTGTGCTTATCTGGAGTTAAAAGTTGATGACATCTTAATCTTTGAACCTCCCTGGAGAGACTGAAATGTCATTGGTTTCTAAACTACAGGCAGCTGCAGTCCATGAGTGATATGACACCAGCATAATTTGTTTTAATAAAATTATTTTTAAAAGACAGCTGTATATTAGTTTGTTAAGAAGTTTAGTAAATTAACACAATTATTTTCTGAAACTAAGAGAAATATACTGCTCCCCAATAAGATAAGTTCACCTCTAGCAATAGTATCATATTAGATACACAAAGAAAATACAACTCCATAACATAATATACAATGTAAGTATTATGTGGCCTTCCAGTACACAAAATGTTTTATACTTTATAAGAGGCCTTGCTTCATGTGTAGATTCACATTAAATACTCTATCATTGCGTTTGGTAGATCAATAGCAACTTATTTGAAACTAAAAATGTTTATTTAGTTATTTGATTCTTAATAACTTCTAATATTATGTTCTATAAATATACTCTGAACAGGGTCCACATATTTAAATTTTTTTAGTTCAGTAAAAACAACTAGTTTAAAAAAATTTCAAAAAACACCAAGTCACAAAAATTTATACATAATGAAAAAATCTGGTTAAATATACATTCATATGTTAGTTTTTCATAACTAACAAAATAAAAGGTGTAACTACTTTGTAGTTTGTTCTCAAGCTAACCAGAAAATTGCCATTTGAATTCACAATTGTTTTCTAGGTCATTATTAATCTACCATCCATGTTCAAGTAATACCTGATAATGCCTTTACTGGTGAAACCATGGTCATGAATAAATGATGTATTTGTGAAATGTACAGTTGTTTTGTTTCACCTCAATTCTTTAATTATGGAGTTTCACCAAGTACCGATGGTTTCAAGTATCAATTATATAACAATTTAGTCATTTACTGACATTTTGTGTAGGTGGTGTTGACCATTTTTACAGGATAATTATAAATATATAAAATACACATAAGCACGTATATATTTATGTTTTAAACCATAACAATCAAATACAAAGAGATTTTTCTTGTTTTGTTTTAGGAAATATTTTCAGTAATTTAGAATGTTGTGTTGATGAAAATCTAACTCAAAAAAAAATAATTCAGTCATACACTACGTAAAATGAGAAACAAAATGAATATCACAATTTATTTTGGGAAACTGCTCTTTTCTACATACATCTAAGTCATTTAAATGGCTGAAAGTATGCAAGCAGATTATTTTTATGATAGAATTCTCACACAGAAAATCCAACATTACATACCGTATTTGCAAGTGTATAAGACAATACTTTGTAGTCTTAAAACAATGCTTGATTTTACCCCTCATCTTATACACGGGTTGTTCAAAGATGTGTTTCAGTAGGAACTCTCTAGTTAATAGCATATTTAACCAAAACTACATTGTTCCTTTTACTTTTGTTTGTTTTTTGAATAAATGCATTGACATAGTGCTACCTGCTGTGTTATAATAACATTTGTAATTGTATCATTTGTATCGATTCTTAGTAACTAGAAGTTATTTATCTTGCTTACTAGTTACAATTAATCAAGACATTTTTGATTTTAAAATTGACCTCATCTGTCATATTAAAATATTGTTAAGATTATATAAAAAAAATATAGTTTTTATAGTAGATCACTATATCTTAAGGGTTAGTATTTTTTGTAATAGAAATGGAGTTCAACAGTGATGAAAACTTTGTAAAGTTGTTAATTACATGTTTCTAACTTAAGTTATGCCTCATTTAGCTGTCTGTAGCATTTGAAGAGCATAAAAAAAACACTTGTGGTTGTATTGTTTGCCCCAGAGTGCAAGTTAGCACAGTTTAAAAATAACTTCTAAGAATTTCTTTACAAAGTAACATCCTAGAGTTGCTTGACAATAGAAGTCTTCCTATACACTGAACCTAAAAAAAAAAACACTTAATTTGCTCAAAAATTCCAGGTTCGTCTTATACACTGGCAAATATGGTATATACATTTTTTAGGGAACTGCTCCTACAAAAACATGTACTATTTTCAACACTAAACACAAACATGATTTTATGGTAAAACATTTAAAGGTTTAACTGGAAGTAGCCTTAGTCACCAGTATAAAATAAAGGTGTAACTGGAAGTAGCCTTAGTCACCAGTATAAAATAAAGGTGTAACTGGAAGTAGCCTTAGTCACCAGTATAAAATAAA